TCAAAATTGCATATTATTCATTTATAGTATACTATATTTACAAGATGCATAAACATTAAACAGCTATAAGGATTATTATAATACTACATAGCAACTTAGCTTCGACTAGCTACATGATGATGACTGCCTGTAATCTTATGCACATTGTTTATCTGAGAGCATCCACCAATAATAAAGCAGATACTGTCTTTCAGTGCTTTCAAGAGGCTGTCGATAAGTATGGTCTTCCTAGTCGGGTGCGTTCTGACCGAGGAGGTGAGAATGTCTCTGTTGCCAATTTCATGCTACTGCATCCGGAAAGAGGTCCAGGGCGAGGGAGTTTTATAACAGGACACAATGTTCACAATTCACGAATTGAACGTTTTTGGAGAGACATGTTTCAAGGATGTATAGTGATGTACTACAATCTTCAGAACACGGTCTCTCCCCAGAACAATTGTGGATCACTGGCACTGCTCAATTCCATGGTGAAATAACGTGTCTTCAGGTAAATCATGACATAATTGTTATTGATTAATGATAAAATATTTATAGGAGTCTGCTGAGTCTTTTGGAGAAGTCCCTTTTGTCAACAAGATTACTTGAGAGTTAAAAGCAACTGTTGCTTCTATAAAACCTTGTTCAGATTTTTCTACTACAGTAGTACTAACATTTGATTCTTCTAAGATTATTGTTCATGCATTGTAATTTTGAAATAAAATGAGTTGGATGATATCATAAAAAATAAACTCTCAGAACAGCTAGGCCACAAAGCAGCTACAAGCTAGTTTAGATTACCAGGTGTATGAATAAAAGGCAATGTCAAGCACAATTAGTCATTCATTTTCAAATAACATTTAGCAATGCTTTACTTTTAACAAGTTTCAAACACGTGTGTAGTTATAATATGTAATCAAAGATTACATGAGAACATGAGATAAATGAAAAGTGAGACTGTTTAATTGTAAATGTGGAATACTGAGTATATATAGAATGACAAGTTCAATGAAGTCCAAATCCCCCATGGTTGACAATTCCCAAAGCATCTTTTCTTTAAATACATCATATTTATCAAAGTACTGGGTAGGTATTGTGAGACATAGAGAACAAGTGGATGCTGTGGGCAAGTCAATTGTGTTACTAAACTGCAGAGTTGAGGACAAATCAAACCCAGTTGGAGGTATTTCATTTGAGCCAGTGTAAAAATTGAGTAATTGACTAAGAGTGGTCAATACACTTCCTCCTGTAAAAATAATAGGAACAATAATTGCCTAAAATACTGCATAGCTGAAATACATGTAGATGCTAGCAAATAGTTATTTTGCTATTCAAACAAAACAAATCGTCATATATAACTCTCAATAGTATTTGGGCTATAATAATTGCATTTTCTTACTTTCCATCTCTCTCAAAAGGTCTCGAAATTGATTATAAGTAGCTTGTTCCATTTGAAAGGTAGAGGAGCCTGGTTCAGAAAATCTTTTAATTTCAAATAAATTCAATACTTGAGCTACACACAAACAAAATCAAATTCAATAACAATCTCCAGATAATAAGTGTTACCAGCTGTTAAAGGAGTGCTTTTCTTAACAAAGTAAAGTTCAAGGGATTGTGGAAATGCCTCCATCGCATAAAGAATATTAACTTTTGCTAAACCATCTCTTATGTCATCTAGTTCAGCCTTGACACTACTAATGACGCAGTGAAAGGAGACAGCTGCCACTAGTGTACTGAGATCTTTACAGGTGATTGTGTGAATTGGCTTTAGATAACCGCATGACAATAGATTGTCACAATTATCCATGGCTAATGTCCTCAAAGACGTATCATCAGAGGCTAAGGAGAGCTAAATTTTGAATGATAATTCTTTAAATGCATAAATGCACAACACATACTTTATTGAGTAATGATAGAATATTCTTATCGGGAATTTCTTCTGGCGCTGGATTAATACTTCTGTAATTCTTGGTTCCCGAAAGATATTGATAAACTGATGGAGAAAAGAATGTGAAACCTGAGCCCGACTGGATAATGCAAACACCCATTAGCATCCCTAGCTTCCTATAGACACCATCCCGCAGTAGGAGTGTATTATGTCGCGGGATCTAAAACAAATGTCATATGTAATTATATGCACACAGACACACAGACACACACAGGTTATAGACCAGTTTGGAGTTTTGAAAAATTACCTTACAAGTGTCCCTTCCATCACACAAGCTCTGGACACCTTTAACAAACAAGCTCCACATTTCTCTAGTGACTCCTCCCACGTCGACCCCAGGCTCTCCAAGAAAAGTAACAGTGAGTCTTTTAGAAGCCAATGATTCAATAACACTTTCCGATAATAGCAACAAATCATCCAGTACACTCTCCCTTCCAACTTGAACCTGAAATTCTTCATTCACAATATTCATTGATAGCTGACTCATAATATCATTCAAAGAGCTAAAAGGCACCGTTATAGCTATAAGGCAAAAGTATAACAAATTACCATGGCTCCTTAAGGACTTGATTAGGTGCTTCTTCTTTGTTGAGCTCGGCAACAGCAGGAGCTATAGGACTGTCAAGCTACAAAATGAAAAATAGGACAATATCAAAATGAAGCACAACATACATTTACAATAGGATCGTCATTAAAGGGTGGGTCTTCCATGCACCCATCATCATCATCATCATCATCATCATCGCTCTTCACTTCCATTGATGGTTTCCTAAAAAATTGAAGTATATGAAGAGGGTAATCGAAACATACAAGTGATAGTGTTTTAGGTACCAAGGATAACATCGACATATATACAAAAATCTAATGCTATGCCTTTTGAGCTATATTAGCTCATAATAATAATAAAAATTCAATTTCAAAAAATGATCCAGGCTTTTTTGTCTATTATGTTATAGCTAGTAGCAACAAGTACTGGTACTTGGAAATTTCTGTTAAGATTCAATGAATCAGTTAATTCCCTGGCATAATAATATTAAGGGGGGGACTTGAGCCCCACTGCCCCCTTTCCACACAACTCATCAACTGTATGCTAACCTCTTACAAATTCGGATGTGCTCACTCAATTCCTGAAGAGGAAAAAAACAAGAGCAAATCATGCACTTTTCTGAAGGATAGTCCTGCAAGGATTACAAAACTAACAATAGGATTCACAACTAAAGATTCTTACCTGAAAAGTAATACTAGATGACGGAACCTGGTCTAACGTTAGACTTCTCTGGAGTGGCCTGATATAGACCTTAGCCTGCTTTAGTACCTCTTTAAGATAGGGCACAGTGTAGCCCTCAGACAATGGAGGTATCAGCTGTAAAACGCTCCTGTTCGCATCACTTATTCTCAATAATTCATAACCGCCTGCATCTCTCAATTTGGGAAAGGCATAAATAATTTCTGAATGCACGTCACTCGAATCTCCACCATCAATGATGTGCAGCTCCTTTCTCCCCAAACCAGCCCTCATTAGCTCCGCCATCTGCATCGATGTTGGTGGTCTACAAGTATCAGTGCTAGAAAGGCAAATAAAACTGTGAGTCCATAGAGTAATCTTCCTTTTTGCCTTGTTCTGGAGCGATGATTTGCCTTTCCTCTTCCCAGTATAATTAAAAAGTGTGTTACGTTCACTCAGTGCAGGGACCTCTGTCCTGCTTGTTGCAGGTGATGCTTGAGAAGTAGACTTGCTGCCACTACTAGGACCTGCTTCCAAGCTCTGAACAGCAAGCCTAAGAAGGTCTCGTACACGATCTGACATACTATAGTGATAATAAATTGACAATGATGATGATAATAAAGTCACATGATTTAAAACAAGTTAAGCAAAAATTCCCTCTTATCCACCCAAATGTCTTTATAGTGGGAAAATGGGAACATTAAAAAATATGCATTGTATGCAGTGACACATTATGATACTCAAGAGTCGTAAACAACACTAATTAGAATAAATGGACAAATTTTACCAGACATAAACTTACCCTGTGTCCATGATGACCAGGAGTCTATGTACTCCCGTCCCGTCTAATCAGCGAGGCTATTAAGAGTCCGTTCAGTTTCGAAAGGGCCCTGTCTAGTGTCTATGTTCAAAAGCTAACAGGCTCTGTCTCACCGTCCGTCTCGGTAGGGCTTGACTCCAGTACAGAGCGCATTCCACACAATCTCTTTGAGACCCAGTACTGCACTCTTCAAGTCTTCTAGAACCTAGAGTAACTCTAGAGAAGACGTCTCTGAAAGAAAGGGCTCAGTGCACAATCATGTGGCCCTCACGTGATCACAAAGAAGTAACACATGGTTGAACATAATAATATCTATGATTAATAGGAGTGACCCAGAGTGGGCGTTAGATGCTTATCAGTAGCTCCATTATTCTTCACTTTACCTTTATTCTTTCACAAAACATTGCTTTGTACCACTGCTAACTATTTAAATTTGCAATGTTATTTTTGAATATAATTATTATAATTTAAGATTATTTTAAAGTTGTAAGTACTAGCAGAAACGTCCAAAATGTAACAGCATTGCACTAATAATTGTGTCTATAAAGAAGCATACTCACTCTTGGTATATTTGTTACAACTTCTACTGACTGAGAAATTTTTATCTCTCAAAAAATCCAACTTTTACTAGCTTAAAGTTTTTTAAACATCTCGTAAAAAAAATTCAGCTGAAAAGTGAAGAATGATGAAGGTACATGAGCCAAAAGTACAAACTGATGCCCACTCAGAAGGGTGTGGTTTAATATTTTTCAGGCCAGAACTGAGGGTTTCTGCACCAAAATTTCCAATTTTACTATGAACCACCCTATATAGCTAAACAAATTTTAAGACTTTAGATCTAACTTTCACATTTACATCAGTTTCAAACAGTCTCATTAACAAAATTACAATGCATTGGCAATCTTTGAATGCACAAATGCCAGTGTGTTCATGTAGTAAGTGTAACCAAAATCTTCACAAGGTTTGGTAGGATCAACAGTTGCTTTTAGCTCCAAGTAATCTCCTTGTTGGAGGGGGTTGGTGACACAAGGGACTTCAACACGATCGGCTTCAGATTCAGATTCCAATGAAAGAGGCCCATCCAAGTCAACCCCAAAAGACTCAGCAGACTCCTATAAATATTTTATCATTAATCAATAACAATTATGTCATGATTTACCTGAAGACACGTTATTTCACCATGGAATTGAGCAGTGCCAGTGATCCACAATTGTTCTGGGGAGAGACCATGTTCTGACTCCATTGGATGCTTATTCCAAGCATCACAAAACTGTGCCAGTGAGAGATTGATTCTGCAAAGAAAAACAAAATGTAAACAAAAAAGTTGAATCGGATCGTCAGGATTCAAGTCGCCATTGTCTTCCA